AAGACAGACAATCTTTCTGGGAAGGTAGTATGGTAGAGTGGCTAAGAACTTCAGCTCTTTAGACACATAAACTAGGTTGCAGATCTCGACTCCACCAACTGTTACCTTTGTTTCAGGTAAGTTACTCAAACTTCATCCCTAGAAAGGGGCTGATAAAAGCACTACTTCGAAGTATTATGGAAATTAAATGAGATAATCTATATGAAGCACTTAAAATGCCTGCCACACAGTAGGCATTCAATAAATGTTAGCTGCTAGATTTATTATTTTTTATTGTGGTGAAACTGAAGCAAAAAATATATATAAGGAAAAGTAAAACACTTTCATCTTTGGAACCAGAGAGCTCTGTTAATGTGACCTTGGAAAGTTACTTTATTCATGGAGCCTTAGCACCTACTCTGTAACAATGAGTATAATAATCCTTCTCTAGGGAGACAGTTTAAAACCTGGACACTGGAACTCACATGACAAGTTTGAATACTGGCTCTAACATTTACAAGTTGTGTGGCCTTGAGCATCTTTAACTTCTCTGTGCCTGTGTGTCCTCTTCTGTGGATTAGAGGTAACAAAAAACACCTCCTTGAGTTAGTGTGAGGAATTATGGAGTTAGTCCATGAAAAGTGCTTGAAGCGGAACATAGAATAATGTAAGCACTCAATGAATGTTAATTATTATTATAGAGATAAGGTACGAAACAAATGAGATCCTTAGTAGAGCTGGACATGTGGTAGGTCCTCAGTCAAAGGTGGTTTCTTTCCTCACTCACCCTGATCTGTGCGCCAAATCAAGATTCCCTTGGACTTGCAGAGAAAATGTTTCATAATAAGGAGATTTCCATAGTAAGTAGAATTTTCTAGCAGGCTCAATATCACCATCTTATGGAAACAATGTCATCTATTAGCCGCCTACGACTTTATTTCTAAAAAACTGCTCCATTCGACAATAGGGAAACGGCTATTTTGCATGTGAACTACTTGGGCCTCGATTTGAGAATGGCTTAGGGAAACCCTCTACTCTCAAACCCCTCCTTAGATTTGGAGTCAACTTAAATGTTATTGAGTTCCCTACCCTAGGTTAGGCATGTTCACATATTTTTACTTCCACTATTTTTTCTATATAAATATACAATTTTTAAACAAAAATCCTCATTTAATCTTTACAACAATCCTGTGACATATAAGCACTTTATAAAGCAGAGATTTAGAATTTTGGCAGCATTTTTGCTGTCTGTAAATTAAACAAAAGGGATGTAAGTGTGTAATGTCATTCATTCATTCATCTAATATGTCAGGTATTGGTTTCTGCAGGGGATTCAAAAGTGAACAAAAATAGGCAAAGTACCCACTTTCATGAGGCTTCTATCCCAATGAAGGAAACATGCACAATTATATAGTATTTTATATATAAAAATACGCACACATACATAAACATTTTTCCCCTAGTACAGAAGGTAAAACAGAGTTTTCCTTGATTCCGCAGCTATTACTACTAAGCTAAATTCATTAGTTGCTTTGCTACTACAATAACTAAAATATTTTACATTCATTTTCAGCAGAAATGGTCTTATTTCACATTATATAAAATTTGTAATGAGATTTTTTAATGTGTAGCAAAAGGATGGCAAACCTCTGTCACTGAAGTAGTATAGAAACAGGAAGATAAATATTTTTAACAGGAAAGTTGAATTCCACTATTGATAAAGACAACCAACTTATATTGCATGGAAATTATGCCAGTTTGGTGCATGGTTCAAACATGGTCACAGGCTAAAGGGTTCTGGCGAATGTCTCTCTCCAACTGGGCAGTGTAAACCATGAGAGACCATTCTCAGGAGTTTAGAGAAACATGGCAGAGTGAGAGACATCCCTATATCTCTCCCCTTGAAACAACAATAAACTGAACATCTAAAAGTCAACAAAAAAAAAAAACCCAAACTGCACACCAGCATGCTTAAGCATGGAATCCGTGCATAAGAACTACCACAGGTCAGAACCCTGGGTATCGGGCAGTCGACTGAGAGAAATAAAGAAGCTGTCTCTCGCAGCTACTGGAGCACTCTGTAGGAGCAGGGAGAGGGGGGGAAGGTGTGGCAACTTCCCTGAACAGCCCTGCCTGGGAGAGCTGTGAGCTCCATGCAGCTGGCGGCAGGGCCCAGTCATCAAGGCAGAAACAGAAAATCAGGACGTCAGAGAAACATCAGTTGATTTTTACCAGCCGTGGTGGCAAAACCCCCAACCCAGAAGGCCCCTCACACCATTCCTCTGAAACCAAACACCGCGGAGCCCAGAGAAATCTGAGCAAATGCTACTGAAACTGTCGCTAACATTGAATGGGACTGAAACTGATGGTAGTGAGCTCGATTAAACATCTACGGGAAAACAAAAAGGCATTATTAAGTCTTTATATTAAGCAGGG